AGCAAGAAGGACGTGATGTGCTTCCTGTGGTGGCTCAACAACATTAGCCGATTCATAGCATAGTCCACAGCAATATGTGAACCCATCTTCAAGATGCTGAGGAAAGATGCCGAGACAAGTTATACCAAGGATTGTCAGAAAGCTTTTGACAAGATCAAGGAATACCTGTCCACACCGCCAGTTTTGGTCCCGCCAGAACCAGGATGACCTTTGCTGCTATATCTATCCGTGTTAGATGGAGCCTTTGGATGTGTTTTGGGACAACATGACGAGACAGGAAGAAAGGAGCAAGCCATATATTACCTAAGTAAGAAATTCACACCCTATGAAGCACGATATTCTCTGCTTGAATGCACTTGCTGTGCTTTGACCTGGACAACCCAGAAGTTGAGGCATTATTTCTGTGCCTACACTACATACCTCATATCCAGGATGGATCCTCTGAAGTACATATTTCAGAAGCCCATGCCTATTGGGAAGTTGGCTAAATGGCAGATACTACTGAGTGAGTTTGACATCGTCTACGTAACTCAAAAGGCGGTCAAAGGACAAGCATTGACAGATCATCTTGCTGAAAATCCGGTGGGAGGAGAATATGAACCTTTAAAAACACATTTTCCTGATGAAGAAGAATCATTCATAGGAGAGGACATTACGGAAGCACATGACGATTGGAGGATGTTCTTTGATGGAGCTGCAAATTTCAAAGGAGTAGGCATTGGAGCAGTTTTGGTATCAGAAATTGGTCAGCATTATCCCGTATCTGCTAAACTCAGATTCCCCTGCACCAACAACATGGCGGAGTACGAAGCTTACATACTAGGGCTCAACATGGCGGTCGATATGAACGTTCAGGAGTTGTTAGTGATCAATGATTCAGATTTGCTTGTGCACCAGGTACAAGGGGAGTGGGCCACCAAGAATTCCAAGATATTTCCATATCTGCACCATGTGCAGGAATTGAAAAGGAGGTTCACGAATATAGAATTCCGACATGTGCCCAGAATTCAGAATGAGTTCGCTGACGTACTAGCCACTTTGTCATCAATGATACAACATCCAGATAAGAACTATATTGATCCCATTCTGGTAAGGATCCATAATCAGCCGACATATTGTGCTCATGTCAATGAAGAAGCAGATGGAAAGCCTTGGTTCCATGACATCAAGGAGTACCTATCAAAAAGAGAATACATGGAGCATGCAAATCACATTCAGAAACGCACGCTCCGGAGATTGTCAAATCACTTCTTCCACAGTGATGAAGAACTTGTATAGAAGAACTCCGGATTTGGGCTTACTAAGGTGTGTTGATGCAAAGGAAGCCTCTAAGCTACTTGAGTATGTGCATGCTGGGACCTGCGGTCCACACATGGATGGTTTTGTTCTGGCCAAGAAGATACCCAAGGCGGGTTACTTTTGGATGACCATGGAGATGGATTGTATTCAGTATGTCCGTAAATGCTTTCAATGTCAAATACATGCCGACATGATAAAAGTGCCACCAAACGAGCTCAATGCAACAAGCTCACCTTGGCCATTTGCCGCCTGGGGAATGGATGTTATTGGTCCGATTGAGCCCACCTCTTCAAACGGACATCAGTTTATTCTGGTAGCCATTGATTACTTTACAAAATGGGTAGAAGCCGCATCTTACAAAGCTGTAACTAAGAAGGTCATCGCAGATTTTGTCAAGGATCGTATTGTTTGCCGATTTAAAGTTCCTGAGTCTATTATCACTGACAACGCCGCCAACCTCAACAGTGATCTGATAAAAGCTATATGTGAAACCTTCAAAATCAAGCACAAGAATTCCACCGCCTACAGACCACAGATGAATAGAGCCGTAGAAGCCACCAACATGAACATTAAGAAGATACTAAGGAAAATGGCAGAGAATCACAAGCAGTGGCATGAAAAGTTAGCCTTTGCTCTGTTAGGGTACCACACCACAGTTCGCACGTAAATCGGGGCAACCCCCTACATGCTGGTTTATGGTACCGTGGTTGTCATCCCAGCCGAGGTAGATATTCCTTCTTTAAGAGTCATACAAGAAGCTGAACTCAGCGATGCGGAATGGGTAAAAAACCACTATGAACAGTTAGCCCTTATCGATGGGAAAAGAATGAACGTAGTGTGTCATGACCAACTGTATCAGAATAGAATGTCCAGAGATTTCAACAAAAGGGTCAAACCAAGACAGTTCGCACCAGGGCAGCTAGTATTGAAGAAGATTTTTCCACACCAAGACGAAGCCAAAGGGAAATTCTCTCCCAACTAGCAAGGTCCGTATATGGTTCACAGAGTACTAACAGGAGGAGCACTCATACTTGTAGAGATGGATGGAGAGATCTGGCCAAAGCTAATCAATTTAGACGTAGTCAAGAGATACTATTCCTAGAATCATTTCACATTCCCTTTCTGATATAATTGAACTACACTTATCCTGATTCCCCTTTAAGAGGGGATACGTAGGCAGCCTTAAAGTTTCGGTCATATCATAATCAAATTTTCATTTCCCCCAAAATCAGAAACTAGGGCAGAATTTTGAAGAGGGTCCTCAAAATTCCGGAGCAAGTCCAGCCAACGCCATCACATGTCAGGAAGCCAGTTGTATATGGAAAATCCGGGGGCCTGTTTCCCCCGTCATAAAACCATCTTGCGGTCATGCCCCTCGACGCTCGAAGCCGAGGTCGAGACTCATCCTCGAGGCTCGATATATATCGATCCAAAGGATATCGTATTCTGACAAGTACATCAAGCCACAACATGCGAGAGGGAAGTTCCTAAGGCACGCGACTTAACCTGACATGGTTAGTCTATCCGGGGCCTATTTTCAAGATGTCATGTCAAGCCATCCTATCTCCATACCTTTACGATTAACACGTTCTGTACCATAGCGGATTCCTCTCCTATATAAAGGGGATCCCCATTACTTTGTAGACTCAACTGATGTTGCTCCATTTCTCCTCAAGTGCAATAATCTCTCTTTCTCTTTTCTAACTTGTTTGTTCTTATAGCTTTCTTACTTTTTCTTCATCACATAGCTTAGTATTGGCCGTAAAGAGCCTTGTTTAATTATATCTTCAACTGTTATCCCATCCCCAACTATCCCCGCTAGCTCGAGCTCGACCTTGACGTTGACCCCGTAGTCCCCCATCGACCAGACCTTTACCCGGGCAGCAGGCCCCCCGGCTCGATTACTATCTCATTTTAGCTTGCATTTCGTCATTAAACTCCTTACTACTAGCATCAACTGCTCTAACAACTAGCTCGGAAATAGATCACGTATTTTTAGAATCCCATTTACAAATTTAATTGTTGTTACCATTTTCACGGTAAACAGTTTGGCGTCCACCGTGGGGCTAAAAATATTAGTGATTGTTTTCTTGCTGGTTCCATTGCACAAACACACGTTATCTTTCACACTTCTTCCTGTCCAAAGATATCTTCTTTCAAGATGAAGCGCCTGGCTCGACTAGTAAAATAGGAAGCTGGAACCTCAAAGGCGACGGAGAAAAGGGCACGACCAACCTAGAGATCAGTGTCCACATGATTATTGGGGGAGCCAACGTTCCCCGAGGACCCGTGTCCAAACGAGCAAGAACATCTGCTACATAGGAGGGGCCAGCCCGAGAACGCTTACTCGGAGAAACCCTCATATTCAGCGAAGAGGATCTCGAAGCTATGATGGAACCGTACACAACGCGCTAGTAATCTCGTTTCTCTTAAACAACACCCGAATAAAGTGCGTGCTCATGGATCCAGGCAGCTCGCTCAACATAATAAAGTCAGATGTAGTAGAACAGTTAGGGCTGCTCAGTCAAGTTGTTCCCACCCCTCGGGTCCTCCACAGTTTCAACATGATCGGAGAAGAAACGAAGGGAAAAATCATTCTCCCGATTGACACGTCTGGCACAACCTAGAACATTGAGTTTCAGATCATCAACGGTGACATGAGATACAACGCCCTACTCGGCAGGCCTTGGATACACAACATAAGGGCTGTGCCCTCGACCTTGCACCAGGTAATAAGATTTCCCACCAGGGATGGCATCACGACCATACATGGGGAACAACGGGCAGCGAGGGAAATGTTCACAATCCACCACGAGACGCCAACCCCCACATGCCCGGCCTCAGACGAGGAGGGAAGCGTGCGGACCCTTGAAGACGACAAAGAAGACTTCTTCGCACCCTGAACCTTTGTCGCCCCCGAAGAATTCGACGCGACCAAGTGAATAGTCGAAGAGCTGGAACAGACCATTTTGATCAAACATTTCCTGGATCGCAAGGTATAACTGGGAACGGGGCTGACCCCCAAACTCAGGGCAGGGTTTATTCAATTCCTTAGTAATAATATCAACTGTTTCGCTTGGTCCCACTTAGATATGACAGGTATCCCACCGGAAATAACCTCCGACAGACTAAGCGTTGACCCCAAATTCAAACCCATGAAGCAAAAAAGAAGACCGTACTCCGAGGTAAAGCATGCCTTCATCAAAGAGGAAGTGGCGAAACTCCTTAAAATCGGATCCATCAAGGAGGTAAAGTATCTTGAATGGCTAGCTAACGTAGTGGTAGTGCCAAAAAAAGGAGAATAAGCTAAGGATGTGCGTATACTATAAAGACTTGAACAAAGCGTGCCCAAAAGATTCCTTCCCATTGCCTAATATCGATCTCCTGATCGATGCTACGGCCGGCCACGAGACCCTCACTTTCCTCGATGCCTACTCGGGGTACAATCAAATCCAGATGGACCCCGAGGATAGGTAAAGGACTTCATTTATCACAAAATACGGTACATATTGTTATAACGTAATGCCCTTCGGGCTAAAAAATGTCGGAGCAACATACCAACGGCTAGTTAATAAAATGTTCGAGCACTAAGTAGGAAAGTCAATGAGGTATATATTGATGATATGTTAGTCAAATCCCTGCGTGCAGAGGACCATCTGACCCATTTGTAGGAAACCTTCGACATCCTCAAAAGCTACAACATGAAGCTCAATCCCGAGAAATGCACCTTTGGAGTAGGTTCGGGCAAATTCCTGGGCTTCATGGTCTCAAACAGGGGGATCGAAATCAATCCCGACAAAATAAAGTCCATCGAAGAGATTACAGTGGTAAACAACGTAAAAGCCGTTCAACGGCTGACAGGGCGGATCACGGCCTTGGGCAGATTCATATCGAGATCGTCGGACAAAAGCCACCATTTCTTCACCCTGCTGAAAAGAAAGAACAACTTCGAATGGACTCCAGAATGCCAACAGGCTTTGGAAGAACTAAAACGGTACCTGTCTATCCCACCTTTACTGCACACGCCCAAGAGGGATGAAACGATATACCTATACCTAGCCGAGATAGTGGTAAGCAGCGTATTGGTTCGAGAAGAGAAAGGTACGAAATTTCCTATTTATTACGTGAGCCGAACCTTGGGGGACGCCGAAACCCGGTACCCCCATTTAGAAAAATTGGCTCTCGCACTAATAAGTGCCTTGCACAAACTGAAGCCCTACTTTCAGTGCCATCGTATCTGCGTCCTGTCAACTTATCCCCTCTGAAGTGTACTGCATAAACCCGAGTTATCAGGTCGATTGGCCAAGTGGGCCATCGAACTCGGAGGGTATGACATCAAGTATCAACCTCGGACGACCATCGAGTCCCAAATCTTGGCGGATTTCGTGGACGACTTCTCACCAACCCTCGTACCCGAGGTAGAGAAGGAGCTTTTATTAAAATCAGGCACATCTTTTGGGATATGGACCCTGTTCACAGAGGGTTCCACAAACGTAAGAGGATTCGGACTCTGTATAGTCCTAAAGTCGCCCGTCGGCGGCATAATCAGGCAATCCATAAAAACCACAAAACTGACTAACAATAAAGCCGAGTATAAGGCTATGATTGTAGGTTTAGAGTTGGCCAAAAGTTTGAGAGCCGAGACTGTCGAGGCGAAATGCGACTCGCTCCTCGTGGTAAGCCAAGTAAATGGAAGCTATGAAGCCCGAGAAGACAGGATGCAAAGGTATTTGGACAAAATCCAAATTGCATTACGCCACTTCGAAGAATGGACCCATGTGCCTCGAGAGCAAAATTGCGAGGCCGATGCCCTAGAAAACCTAGCATCTTCCGCTGAAGAAGAAGACCTACTCCCCGGAATCATTGTCCAACTATTCAAATCTGTGGTAGAGGAAGGTCACGCAGAAATTAACTCCACCAGCCTGACATGGGATTGGAGAAACAAATACATCGTTTATCTGAAGGACGGAAAGTTACCCACGGATCCAAAATAATCGAGGGCCCTGCGAACCAAAGCGGCCCGGTTCTCACTCGACGAAAATGAGGCTATCTACAGGAGAACTTTTGATGGACCCTTGGCAATAGGCTTGGGACCGGGCGACACAGATTACGTGCTCTGGGAGATCCACGAGGAAACCTGTGGAAATCACTCTGGGGCAGATTCCTTAGTCTGTAAAGTGATCAGAGTGGGCTACTATTGGGACAACATAGAAAAAGACGCCAGGGAATTCATCCGAAAATGCGACAGGAGTCAGAGGTTCGCTCCCATGATCCACCAGCCCAGGGAACAACTGTATTCTGTTTTGTCACCATGGCCATTCATGAAGTGGGGAATGGATATTGTCGGCCCTTTGCCGACGACGCCAGTTAAGGCCAGATTCATTTTATTTATGACTGACTATTTCTCAAAATGGGTGGAAGTGCAGGCCTTCGACAAAATAAGAGAGAATGAAGTCATCAATTTTATATGGGAACACATTATATGCCAGTTCAGAATCCCGTCCGAAATAACATACGACAACGGGAGGCAATTCATCGGGATCAAGGTAACACAGTTCCTTGAAGACAACAAAATCAAGAGAATCTTGTCGACGCTATACCACCCGTGTGCAAACGGCTAAGACAAATCTATAAATAAAACCATTATTCAAAACTTGAAAAAGAAGTTGGAAAGCGTCAAGGGAAAATGGAGAGAAACGCTGCCCGAAGTGCTGTGGGCATATCGGACAACTTCAAAATCGAGCACCGGGGAGACACCCTTCTCCCTAGTGTATGGCACCGAGGCACTTATACCGGTGGAAACCGGGGAACCAAGCGCCAGATTCCGACACACTAGCGAGGGATCAAACAACGAATCCATGGAAATGGCCCTCGAGCTGCTCGACGAAAGACGGGAAGCCTCGCTGGTTCGGATGGCTGCCTAGAAGCAGAAAATCGAAAGATACTACAACAGAAGAACGAATCTCCGATACTTCAGAATCAGAGACTTGGTCCTAAGGAAGGTTACCCTCAACACCAGAAACCTTAATGAAGGGAAGCTGGGCCAAAATTGGGAAGGACCATACCAAGTCCTTGGGATCGTTGGCAAAGGATCCTATAAGCTTGGTACTATGGAAGGCGAGCAACTTCCAAGTAACTGGAATGTATCGATACTTAAGTGGTATTACTGCTAGGGTGGCCGGATGTTGAAACCCACAAATATCCTCGAGCAAACGTCGCACACTTTTCCTTCGACTATTTTTTTTATCCCGAAACGGGTTTTTCCCAGCAAGGTTTTTAAAGAGACGACGTCCATACATTTCCCTAAAATGATTCGAGGAGCCTACGAGATTTCTTTCGCAACTAGCCCCGCCCCGGGAAAAAGACGAACAAGGCTCTGATAGGGAAAAAAGTATCGGGTCGAATGGTCCAAAGAGCCGCACCCGTGCGGGCCGAGCTCGCAAAAACAAAACAGCATGTATTTATGCCAAGCAAATAAAGAATATTTGTTGGCACTCCGTACTCCAGAAAAAGGGATTTTCAACATGCTCACGACAAAGGCCTCTCCACCAAACGCGTCCCGAGATACTCGGAGACTTAACATCAATAATTCGGCACTCACACGATCTCAGGGTCGGAACTCCGGGCTCATAAAGCCCCTACAAGGCAACTCCGAGCTCACGAGAAGCGGTCTTCACGCTTAAACAAACTTGATGACTCAGGGACTGTCATTCATCGCCAATCACCATGCACTAGGAAACTCAAAACTGTAAGACCCCGAGCAGGCAGACTCGGCGTAACCAGATCTATTCTACATTACAACAAAAACTATAAGACCTCAATAGGAATGGCAAATTGTAAAACCTCAACAGCCATGACAAACTGTAAGACCTCAACATGCATAAAAATCCTAAAGTTTAGGATATACGTCGCATTTTTAAGAGTCCCGAAAGGGCATACCCTCAGTGTAAATGCCTAAACTATAACTCGAGATCAAAAATGGCTCTGGCCAAACACATATGACTACGGTCAAAACAACTGATATAGCTAAACTAATGCAACTCGGGGACGCCCGACCGTCGCTAAACAAAATCGCAGGCCACTACTTCGAATATACTTCGGAAAAAACCGGTTAAAATAGGCTTCCCTCAATAGGAAAAACGAGCTTCGACCATGTCAGCTCCAAATCACAAGGCTTCAACCTACTCAGCCTACGAGCTATGAACCTTCTGAGGTGCTCAAAACATCGCCGATAATGACTTGAAATCGAGGTTCTTCCAGAGCCGACGATGGGTCAGGCAAAAATCTTTCAAAAGACCTGAACGAGCGGAAAATAAAGACTACAAAAAGCCCATGGGCAAAAACAGCATAAGAGCCATTGTCACTAGCTAAGCAGGCCTCCGAGCCACACACTGAAAGGTCTCTACGACCAAACTGCGTGAGAGCCATTGTCGCCAGCTTGAAAATTGACAACTTGAGGATTAAAATGAGCTCAAATCGTAACCCGATTCAGAGACTGGATCTAAAATAGTTAACTATGCAAGCCTCCGAGCCACATATTGAAAGGTCTCAACGACCAAAACAGCATAAAAGGCACTATCGCCGGTCTAAAAATACTTAAAGGTCAATTGAAGCTCGAGTCGCAACGTGCCTAAGGGCACAACATAAATGCCACTATCGACCGGCCGAATAAGCCTCTAGGCCATGTGCTTGTAAGGTTGCTTTGACCTGAAGCACAAGAGGCCATTGTCGCCCGTCCATGCAAGAAAATACTTAAGGGTCAATTGAAGCTCGAGTCGCAACGCGACTCGGAGATTGAACCCAAAATAGTTAAACTACAACATGCCTAAGGACACAGAATAAATGCCACTGTTGATTGGCCGAGTGAGCCTCCGAGCCATGCGCCTGTAAGGTCACTTCGACCCAAAGCACAAAAGGCCATCATCACCGGCCCATGTAGGCAGGAAAGAACTCTAGGGTTAATTACAGCTCAAATCGCAACGCGACTCGGAGACTGTACCCAAAATAGTTGAAACAGCGAAGTGCACAAAGGCAAAAGATAAGAACCGTCATCACCTGACCGCGCGGGCAAGGGAAAGCGGAAATCAACAAGGCTCGGGACAAACCCGGCCTGGGAACCCAATGCAAGACAGTGGGGCTAAAGCGTGAGATCCCTCACGACGGTTCACATTGGAGGCCGCATCTACCAGCCATGTGACGATTCCCGAGCCAGCCCAAAAGGCTCACAGGGCTATATTGCAGGTCTAAGGTTTTTTTGCCAATCATTGCTGAATTCAAAATAGAAAAAGAATAAGGGAAACAGAGTCGCAGAATTCTCCTCATATAGAGGCCAAATGCTAAAAGTACTATATAACAAACAGGGAGATCAATAGGAAAAAACAGCAGATCCTAATCTATTGCCAAACCGACGGCCTCAAAGGTTGCATCCAGGCAATTACAAATACCCCGATGTCCCCTTCTCGACGGCGTCCCCCCTCTCCGGGGATCCATTCCCATTTTTTTACCTTGATCGAGATGCCTTCCAATACGCCCTCGACGGTCAGCCTTTGGGAAACAGGCCAAGCATGACTCACGGTTCGAGGTAAATTTGGGCAAGCCCCCTCAAACACCCTCTTAACGCAGGAATCTGCGACAACCACTTCTTCCCCATGCGAAGATACAAGAGCCTTGGCCTCAACTTTGATCCGGAGCAATGCAGCAACTAACTTGGAATGAAGGCTCTTATACTTGCCGCTATCCTCCCTCGTGCCCTGAAGCTGACGCTCAATCAAGGTAACTCTCTCCTTGAGGTTGTCCCTTTCAGAAGACACCTCGCTCACGTGCCGGCTAAGCTCGGAGATTTAAGCACCCCTGACCCGAAGCTTCCCTCTTAGCAGGGCATTTTTCTTCTCAAACTGCACAAATCGGGGCACGAAGAGTTAAAAGCGACGAAATTTTACAAGGGCTCGAATGATAGAAAAATAAGGGATGGACAACTTGTTCGGTGAAAAATGCTTTCTCGCACTCACGACGACTAACCTCATCCTGACACTAGGCGAGGGCCTGGTTATAAAGCGCCTCAGCTTGAAACCGCATAAAAGGTTAAGAGGATAAATGACGAAGCAGCCTGAAGCAGTAGACAAGGCTGGATGAAGTTACCCGCTCACAAAGCCTTGCCATCTCGCCATAAATAGATGAGGCGTCGACCTCGGAGCTACCCTCAAGGATGATCGCCGGCCTCTCGAGTGCGTCTCCGCCTTTGATCAGTGCTCCTGCCACAAAAGGCTCCTCGCGAGACTCCTCTTGCATTCTGAAAGATGGAAGGATATCCTCCTTTGGAGAATCAACAATATCTAATGGGCTAATGGGGTTAACGTGAATCTCCTCCCTCTGTTCATCCCGGGTCCCAGCTCGAGGTCCCTCCAAACTACCTGTTAAGGGCGTCCCAGTTCGGGGAGAACTCCAGCCACCTGTCAAATCAAGGTCAGTACTCGATACCCCATCCATTGCCTCGCCACCACGAATCTGATTCGTGTCAGCATTAGACTCTTGTTTGGAAGCATCTATTCTCACGGCCCGAGGATCAATCAAACCCCAAATGCTCTTCAAAGGGTGTCGAGAAGCTGCTTTCTCCCTCACCCTTTCCTGCCGCCCCGGATACTGGAGCCAATGGGTCAACCTTGGAATCCTCCACTCTGACCCTCTTGGGCTCCGACGGCTCAACCGGCAAGCTCTCCTGCCTCTTCCTCTCCTCGTCATGCATCTGAGCGTCCCCTCTAACAGACAGCACCTCCCTTACCAGTAGGGTTCCTCCCAGTCCTGCATAGATGTAGATGTTAAAATGCACGGTACGGAGAAAGCTACTAATAGAAAGCTACATCAAAATGCACGGGCGCATCAAGACTCAAGGCTTACCAGGGCCTCCGGCCTCCCACCGAACTCGGGATAAATTTCGCCACACTTGGTCGGTATACGGGCAGATTGAGTGCAAACAACCGACCCAACCCTGAAAGGC